GATTACCAGATTTAATGCGTACTTTAACGACCAATGTGGATACTTCTTCAATGGCACAATGTACTTATGATCATGAGAGATACTCATTAATCAAAATGTTGATTAGCACTTTTAATTTATCTGCTGCAAACATTGTTTTTAAAAGTGCTGAATGGACACTTGTGGGGCTTATCATGATTAAAATGTAAGAGTATAATTACAAAGTTTAACTTATATAAAGGCAAAATTTTGAAAATGCATATAATTTCAGATTAAGTTTAATTGACGTACAATTACAATCATTGCTCCAATCTAAACAAGCCTCAATGTATACATCAATGATTCTTATGACGTATAAATTGGATTCCAACTATTTGGACAGACTCATAATGGAAATAACAAATACTGTAAATACATCTAAATAAGATAATAAACAATGTTAATTGAAAACCTTGTATAAAATAACTTTATATAAATTAGTTTTATAATTTTTTAACTTTATTATCTATCTCCTTACATTTTTAATCTGATATAAAATACATTTCAAAAAGTTCAATTAGTTATTGTATATAATAATATATTGCCTATTATAATGTTAGAATCACTTTAATAATATAGTATGTTCCATTATTACAAAATAACCATTAAAAAATTTTTCCATAATTTGGTAGATGTATTTACAATAAAAGATTAAAGAGAATATATATATCTATATATATATATAGATTATATATATATATATAGAGATATATTATATATATAGATTAAAGAGAATATATATATCTATATATATATATAGATGAATTATAGACATATTCCTAAAGTGAACATATACTCGATGTTGGTGTTGGTAATCCAGTAAGAGCAGGGGAAGAACAATCAAGACCTAATGTGTCTATTTGAGCTGTTGATGCTAATTGATCTTCTGTAGAATGACTACCAACTTTATCACGTAAAGATTCATAAAGATTGTGGACTGCTTCATTATGCTACAAAAATTTAAGATTTTTAATTAACAATATACAAGATTTTTTACTACATAATATATGAATGCACATATAACAATTAACATAAACTATTTTTAAATATTCCAAAATATATTACCTGACTCGTTGGTTGCAAGGCTTTCAATAATGAATGTAAGCGTGCAGATGGCAATTTAGGATGTATATACCAAAGTAATTTCAACAGGTGCCGTGTAACATTATCTCTACCTAAACCAGCCAGGAAAAATTCATCGAAAATTACTGTACAGAAGGACTCATTTGAGAATTCATCGGCCATATTTAGTATTAATAATGAAACCTGTAATTAAAAATTAATTTGTTAGTATAACAAATGTTAATGTAACAAATTGTTAGTATAACAGTTTGCAAATGAATTTCAGCATTTCAAATAACAGTGACAAACTGTGTGAGAAATCCTTTCTTTCCATAATAATTGCATATAAAATATAGGTATATAGTTAAAATATGTTACCAATGTGTGCAAAAATGGATCTTCAAAAGCTCGTTGTGCTTGACAGTTTGGAAGTGTTGCTAACACTCTCATTAAACCTCTAGCATCTCCTCTACCTCTTCCAACTCCACCACCCCCTCCAACATGTAATGCATAGTACATTGATAGAACTGCTGCTACTCCAGACAACTGAGCATATGCTTGGCATGCATCAGGAGGTGGCCCAGAATGCTCGATAATAGCGATAGCACTTTCTCTTTCATCAGGTGGAAGTTTACAATTCAATTGTCTTATTTGATCATCAACCTAAAAATTAATTATATTATTTGTACATATATTTGTACATATATATCCCATATAAAAGTTATAAACTCTAATTTTTTACAGAAGTTTTTTAATTAATTATTTCATAAAATTACCATAAGTGACATAAGTGCTGGCAGAAACTTTGTAACAACTTGAATGTCCAATTTTGGCTCCTTAAAATCTTGCGAATCGATCATCTGCCAAGCGGACAATCCTAGTGCAAGCATTCTCAATAATAATACTAGCACTGCATTTTCTCTAGGTAACGCCTCGCTATTTATCAAATGAAGAGCTATTTTGATTGCACTGCTAGCAAGAAAATTTACCGCATAGGGATCACACAAAGTCATACTTAGATCCCCCAACACCTGCTCCTGTCCTCTCTATAAACAATTATACATCATATCATTTTTCTAATCTAACAAATAATATTAAAACACAAGTTTATATTTTAATTTTTTACCTTAATACTATCTAGGAAGCCTTGCAACTCACGAGATCTTTTAACATCCACATTCTTTTCTCTAATGCACGCATCCAGACACCAAGTAAACTTGTGACAAGGATCTACAGAAATAATATCTTGCACCTAGTAACAAATATTGTATTCAACAAAATTAAAGTAACACAATGGTTTGTTATATATATATCATTAGAATTTACTAATAATAAGATATGAAGAACTAATTAACAATAATATATACTAGATATATTTACCTCTAAATCATGTAATGCCATGAGTAGTTCCGCTCTTAGAGTACAATAATGAATGTTTTTAGTACGTAGAAACAAAGTCCTCAAAAATTGCAATACCATGTCATATAATTTTACACTATGCCCAATCATGTGGGCTAACTTTTGTACAACTTCTCCCTGCCTCCTCACCTATACAAAACAAGAGAAATAGTCGATAAATGTATGGCTCACAAATTTATAATTAATTATGATCTATATACCTTGGGAGATGGTGTAAAAAATAGACTGTTCAAGTTACGATGATCAAATAAAATCTGTTCTTTTTCAATAATATAACGACTAAATAATGGAGAAACTTCATCTCCAAAAAGACTTTGATTATCTTTCCATATTTGGCGTTTTACTTCTGTATCGGCATCATTATACAGTTCCTTCTCCCCAACTAATACTCGCAAATATTTCTCTTCAATATGCGGAGTATTTCTTAAGATACACATAACAACAGGTCGCAAACCAGTGACTCTCACAGCAGGAAAACTTTTAGATAGTAATTCCTTCAATCTTCTATCAGAGGAACTTTTATCGGCTCTTTCCATACCAATTTCATTAATTTGTTTAATCAGTTTTTCCCGTAACTCTTCAAGAACAGAAGCATGAAAATCTAATCTTCTAACTCCATGTAAATCAAGCAGAGGTAACATAGGTCTCAACGATGGTAATAATATGCCATTTTCTAGCTGAAATATGATAGCTATTACCACTGTGTGCGAAATATGCATATTTTTAAGATAATTAATACATTTAAGACAATAATTAATTTAACGTATTATATATTATACTAGATTACAAAATTTTTGACTACTTACTTGAAATTCCTCGATGGCTTTCAGAGGATCTGTACAACTTGTTAAAGCATCTCTTAAAAACACTGGCCCAGGTATACCAAGATCCTCCAGTCCATTACCACTTTCACCGTTACTTTTCATCGGATTCATCGTTTTATTTTATTACATCATACAAAATACCACATATCTATTAATTATTTATATTGCAAATTGTTTCCTTATATGCACGTTTACATACACACGATAAGTTTCGTGATCTACGGCATATTTACACAAATTGCTTGACACTTTCTTCGATAAATTGAAATCAATTGTACAACGTGAATTATCGATATAGCTTCGTTTTTATATTTATTTAAGAATATTCTTTACAACAGCCGTTGTTCTGTATAAATCAATTTCCAAATACCGCTAAAAGAAAACTCCGCTTGACTCCGCTAATGTAAATAATCATTTTAGACTTTAGACCAATATCAAATATCGCACAAGTTAGTATCGATATTTTTTTCGTGAATACAAACTGCCGATATCCAATAGCAAACTATGTTTTATAGGAAGAAATATATTACTATTACAGTTCCTAGGACACAAAGTCTCTTATTGGATATCGCATCTATCTAGAAAAGTCGGTTGCAGTCAAAGATTGCAGTGTAAATCCGCCATAAGCATATATAACGCCCTCTGAATTATTTATGTCGTTATGTACACTTGAATCAGGTAAGGTTAGATGCATTTATAGCTATTTTTTATCTAAATAATTTCGTGTGAATATTCGTGCTTTTCTCATATGACTCAAAATTACTTATGACAGTTTGACATTATAAGATGTTGCACAGAAAATATGTGTGAATATAAATACAGAGAAATATATTTTTTACGTATATTTTGTTATAATATATAACAACAATTCAATCAAAATTAATAATAAAACGAAATTTAATTCTCTAACAAAAAAAAAATAAAGAATAATTTTTTTATATAAAACAAAAATATTATATTTTTTATATTATAATATATATTTATATATGTATATATTTTTTTATATATTATGCATATATTTGTATGACGTTTATAACAATTTTTTTATTCATGTGACATGTATAATAATCCAAGCGAAAATTCTTGGAATTCGTCCAATGAATTACAGAGTCGTGATGAGACAGGTCGTTACCTGCGACGTGAAATCAGGCTAAGGTAATAAAGGTGAAAGGTCAAAGGCAACGGGCTAACGCGGATATCGACCCGGGTGAGATCGAGAAGGCGAGGTAACCCGGTTACAGTCGGGGTAGCGGATGGGCGCGAAAGCAGATTGCCCTAGAATTCGACTTTGGCGTTTCCGCACACGCGCGCTGCGCTGTTCAACAAAGCTCACCCCTCCTACATTTAAAAGGACTCTGCCTAAACAATCCGAACCCTTCTCCCCCACCTCGTTTCCCAAGCGGCGGTTTCCATCAATCCTAAATTCGCCGTAAGTACTTGGCTACCAGAATTAGCGAAAACCAATAATAATCTGATAAATTATATTAAAAAATCGGTATATAATATATACATATGTATAGCTAGTGTATATCTGCTAATACAATATAATAAACAAGCTTTTTCACAACAGGTTCAAATAAAAAACAACAAAATCTTGAAAGAAAATATGATAATAGAAATACAATGCAAATTTCAAAGCATACGATATTTTTGAAAGAAGCCATTTACAATTTTTAAAAAATGCATTTATGACATTTTTTAAATATTTGTATTATCTGGATGGAATTGTGTGAAAAAATGAAGTTAATTATTACACAAGTTGTTATAAATGTGTCTCATATTATATAAGTATAAGTACACATTTTAAACAATGACAAGGAAGAGGTAACTAATTATTATTTTAATATAATATAATATATTTTTTTGACAATATATAAATAGTTATTTTTTTATATATATAATACTATTATGATAATTTTTTTATATATATAATACTATTATGATATATAATATTTCTTTTTTTTTACGCTGTCCACAAATATCGCATCTCTTTTTTGTTGATGCGACACATTTTGGCGAATACATATACGATACCTTTACGAGTGCGGTGAAAGTGACGGGTCAGCTGCTATTATGTTCACATCTCGATTCCTAGACTCGGCCCTGCGCGTAGGGGTGCGCGCGCTGCTACTGATAATAGGAAGGGTGAAACAGAAGGAGACGGAGGAAAAGGGTGAAAAAGAGACAGGGCGAGTAGAGACGCGCGTGCGGAGCGGCTGCCTACGACTAGCTCAGCGGCCGTCAGTCGGTGGTCGCACGCTCGTTCGGGGGTGACGGGTGCGTCTACATACGCGAGGAGGGCGATAGAAACTTCATGCGCCTCCTTGGCGATCGAGTGAGACGCGCCATTCGATGAATCGCCGTTCTGTATCGTCCGTCGTGAGAGTGACACAGATAAAACAGAGAGCAGCATAAAAAAGAGGAAATCGAGCAACACGGGGCGACAAAATGTCGATGTACCACTGTTTATTGTGAACGAATCGAGGGGACAAGGGAAAAAGAGAGAGAGCGAGAGAGAGAGAGAGACAGGAGGAAAGAGGAAGAGAGAAAAAAGGGGGTTGAACACACAGTGGCGGTACATCTCTCTTTTTTACGAATTGTCGGTACGCGCAGTCGTTTTTGGTGTTGTTGGCTGGCTTGATGCCTGTTTCTTTTTTTTGTTTGCTATATATTGCTGTTGCTGCCGCCGTTGAAGCCGCCGTCCGCTGCTGCAGCGGTCGCTAGCGAATTTAAAAAGAGAGAAAAGATATACACTCAAGCCTTTTTATTGTCTCGTCGTTGTTTCGTTTTCGTTGTCCCTTCTCCACCCTTGTAAAAGCAAAAGAAAAGAAATTTTCACCTCTGTCATGAGAGAACGATGCGAAAAAGAAAAAAATTATATATGACATTCTCGAGGACCACCAGTCAGCCTTTGTAACTTCTTTTCTATCACGAGTAGATGACGTATCAGAGTAGGTCACTCTTCTTCTGGTATCTCTTGCGTGTTGTATTTATCATGGATTTTCTTGGTCCCGCGAATGTCCGCAGCGCAGACTATCGCGTTATAAATACCTGTCTATATATCTTCGTGCACGCACATATTCGTCGTCTATGCATGTCGTTTATTCGCTTAGACACGATTAAGCTTATCGTTCAACTCATCTATACTCGTCATACATTTTTAAAATCGCCGTGTCATAGTCTTTTTTTCTGAATATTTCCGAATCTCTTTCAATTCCCGTCTAGTAGCTGACTTTCAATGTAAATAATGTAAATAATTTATAGATCGAAGTAATCATGAAGAAAGTTTATATACTTGCATGTGGGCTACAAAAACTTTATTTTACTGTGATTCTGTTCTCACTGCCTTTTTTTTTCGCAATGGAGGTTTGTGGTGTATAGCCGAGTACTTTTGATATAAATGTATAAATATGCACGAGTAGAAACTGCTTTCCGCTTTTTCTTAAGTGTTGTAAACATTAATGATATGCATATGTGTAACAATACAATTATCACAATCTTCGTTGAAAAAAATACTGCAGATCTATAATTGCTTCACGTTATAAGATTTTATCAATAATCATACATGATATTATTGATGCACAAAGTTATCTCAAGATCGCTTTCTTTCACGATAATATGATACTCTACAATGATAATGTGACACTGCAGTGAATCTTATTACGCTATGTTCAAATCAAAAATTTTAAAATATCAAATCAATTTCAAATCAATTTTATGAAAAGTTTTAAAAGAAATATTTATAATTGTTTTGTTAAATTTAATTATATTAAGGGATACCATTAATTTATGCAACATTAAAAGAAGTTTACAATTTCATTAAAAATCATTTTCTGTACATACACACATACACGTGATTATACATACAAAATTTTCTTATGCTAGAATGTAGTAATTAGATACAAATTAAATGCAACTTCCCTTGCTTTGCTTTAAGAAATTCAAAGCAAATAAAAAACCAGAGCAAGCATATTCCGACGTATACATATTCTATATAGAGAAATTATATTAAGGAAAAATGATTATTCCGAACTTGTCGGCTATTTTTTGTGTTTACTATTAAAACATACTTTATCGATATATATATATATATATATATATATATATTGTGATATATATATATATATTGTGCTAAAAGCCTCCATCTCTAAGTATGTTTTCTCTGGTAACATGGAGTTGCTTGCTACATGCATTGTAGTATTTATATATATTTACTTTTTTAATATCCAGCGGACGCATAACCAAAGTGTTTCATATAACAAAAATTTTATAGATTAAAGGTTTTTAATCATTTTAAGATCGATTTAAATGGCATTAAAATCTATCCCCAGAGAATATTCAAAATTTGCATGATAAACAGTGATTGAAAATTATTGCAATATCTGTAACATATAATGTTTAAATTTTACTCATGTTAATATTCCTATTCAAGAGGTAATAACGCTTTTCAAGCACATATTTTCTCTTTTACAATTTATCTCTTTTCTTTTTCTTTAATATTTAAATATATGCTTATTGCGCTTTAAATGTAGAAAGCGCAATAAAGTATATCTGAAAAAATAATAGATTTCATATATTATTTATGTGAGTCGGATCTTTGAAAACTATCGTATCTCGGAACCAGCTATGCATATTGAAGACAAACGTGACAACCTATGTCTATGACGAATCGCCGAGAAAATAATGCGTTACGCGTTCGCTGATTAGCGGCGATTCTATTCAACGTAAAATGAATCGCTTTCAATGTGCTTGCCGCATAGCGATTTAGAGACGTAGACCGTAACGACGGGCGCCAGAACGGGCGGAGCTCCGTCACGTTTCTTGCCTTTCCAGAGAGGCAAAGGAAAGAGTTAGAGAAAAAGAGAGGGAGAGAGAGAGGAAAAAAAGAAAAGAAAAAGAAGGCGGCAAAGAGAAATTCTTCTGGGACAGTATAAGGGGTGTGTGGCATGCCTGACATGACACGGACCCATCATCGGCGCATCATGCGACCATGCGAATGTAACTCGTAACAGGAACGGGGACGTCCCAGAGCTGCTTTGAGACGGGAAGAGAAAAAGCGAGTGGGCAACTCGTGAAGCGATGTATGCCGCGGCAGGTGGTGCCAGCATCGCCAACCGGAGGAAGCAGAAGCGGCTGCAGCTTAACAAACAAACGCCGGTCCATGTCATTCCGCCAAGACTGAAGAGCGTACACCCTGGCTCGCGTCATCATCAGCAGCAGCAGCATTATCAGCACCATCAACATCAGCACCAGCACCAGCACCACCACCCGTACCATCATCATCATCACCACCACCACCATCATCACCATCCTCCGACCAAGCTCGCCGCCACCCGTCAGCAAGCCCCACGAGCGCAACAGCAAACGCTGACGTCAACATCTTCGTCGTCCGCCGCGTTTCATCCGGGCATCGATGATCGACGCCGTCACGCCATCGATCACCACAAGTCCCATCAGGAGCAGGTCGCGCCGGTCTCGCCGATCCAGTTCCCGATCTCGCCGCCTCCGCTTTCCCTCGAATCTTCAACGTCCGCCACCACCTATCCAGCCAACAACAAGTCCAGCAAGTTTCCCTTCCCGCCGTCCTCGGTCCTCGATCTCCGAGTATCACCTCCTACTTCGGAGCTACAGGTGGGTACATCGTTGAGCACTCTCTCCTCATAATGTCAGCCTCTTCCGGCCAGCTCACGCTGTTTCTCTTAGTCGCTCTCTATCGCCCGATTCTTTATCACCTTTCATATCTTACATATAGTTCCACGCGTATCTATACACGCGCCTAGGAATCACGCAAAATGAAATAAATACGCCACGCAGTGCGCGCATTAGGTAGAGAAAACTGTTGAATTTATAACGCTGATGAGTTGTCAGGTCCAGCAAATATAAAAAATTATATACTTGTGATATACTTTAAAAGTCTTTACAATCTTCTTAAACGCTTACGTTATTTGCTTTAATTGCTTTTACCGTGTACAGTCGCCGAACCTCAAAGTTTTTTATATTACTTTGTCAAATTCCATTGTTTTATTGTTTTTGTCAAGTCTGCAAAGCATACATTATATCAATTATTAAAAAATCGGCACAATAAAAGATTTATATTTTTAAGTATCTTTTTTATCATCAAAAATTTCAATAGAAAGAAAAGTCAATTTTAATCTTCCCTTTGCTTCAGTTTTATATATTTGGATATACACTGAAAATTCGATTACACAACAGGCAGCCGTTATCTCTGCCAAGTGCACGATCGCATTGACGAATTAGATTAACGAAGATTATAAACTCACTCTATCGCTTTAGCGCGATTCACCCCTCACTCGAAGCGTATACACTCCTTCTGATTGCACCACACATCTCTCTTGCCGGCACTTCGTGCAACGTATATAGCAAATAGATCGGCTGTCTGGTGGTGTATAACACGCGAGTAAATCTGTCGAACGGTGTAAGAAAGGCATGACAGATTCTGCAAGCCCAAATATCTCTCCAGGATCCTAGGTCGGCTAAAAGCTCCGCAATGTAATTTCAGTATAGCGTGAAACATGCCCCCCGCGATTATCATCTTGGGCGAGCATGAGCATCGATCGATGCCGACGACGTTAGATGTATTTCGTTACATTCGGTACTGTCCGGGATCCATGATGGATAATCTCTGAGGTGGACTCCGAAAAAGTAGTTTCTCTTTATCCTTTATCAAGGGTAAAAAGAGAGAGAAAGAAAACCGGCAATCATTGAGGGGGATGAAAAAATTTCAACGATCGGTACAAATGAATAAGCGGAATGCAGGCTGCTCTATTGATTAGACGAACACAGCGAGAGAAACAGCGATTACGGGGTGGTAAGGTGGTGAATTTTAGAGAATTACCTTCTAACTTCGCCACCAGACTCATTCCGCCGCTACCACAATATCCCCCACGATCTTACGCGTATGGGGTAAGTATCAAGAGTCACGGCCGCGTCGAAAAGCGATCTTGATCCCTCCGCGTGAGCGTGTTGTAAATTAATAGTCACGCAATCCTTCCGTGGATCAGCATCTACAATCGAGCTCATTATAGATTAGAATCTATCGCTACGAATTCTACGAATTTTATTAATCGCATATGTGCATATTTCATCGATCAATATTTCTTTGTGCCAATCAACGGCGAAATCGATCGAGCGACCTCGACGCAAATCTGACGAATTTGCATTATCAATCGCTCTTAGAACATTTAATCCCACTGTTCTGCTATCATTTCTGACTGAAATAATTTAATACTTCGTTCATTCATATAACACACATCAAGACACATGTCGATTTTCAAAGAAATTATAAAGAAAATAAAGGATCTTAACTGTCGATTGTCGAATCTAGAATATCAAATACACAACTTTTTTTAGAAAGAATTTTACTGTGCTACTTAAAATTAATTATATAAGTAATAATAAGTAATAAATTGAAAATAAACTAGACATAGCAACTCGATTTCGTTGACTAATCACATTAACCATCAACAAAATTATCATCATTTACATTGGTCTTAACAATCGGTTCGTAACGATATGTCTGAGAATTACATATTTCAGTGCGGCGGTCAAGGACCTGGCGGTAAAGCAGCATGGCAGGGATGCAACAGACCTTCGCCCCTTCCTTTATCTCCTACGTCACCTGGCTACAGGACAAAGCAGTGCGAAGCACATCGGCGATGGATGAAAAGAAACAGGGTAATTTCTTCAATTGTTTCTAGATTATGCAGCTTGTAGTTTCTTTGGTCGAATCTTTCTAGTTGGAGTATATAATTGTGTGTCCAATTCTAGATAGAGAGAAGAGAGAAAATTATTTTCATTATCTAAATTAAAACATAAAATTCTATCACGTTTAATTATTGCATAGTTATAAATTATAAGGCAATTTTTTTTAAACTAAAAAATTCTTCAAGATGTAAGATTTTGGAATGTTGCGACAAAAATCAATACATATGCTATCGAAATACAGTACGCATCTGCTAAAATAAAAAATTGAATTTAACACACGCGGAATCGTATGCTTTAGATAAGAGACGCCAGTTATTGCTACGGGAGCAGCGACGACGAGGAAGATGACAGCAGTAATGCCATACGGCAGAGGGGAGAGGTCAGCGCGGCGGTCAACACCGTGCTCTACGTGGGTTTAGGGACCACTGCGCTCGGTTTAGTTATCTCGTTCGTCGGCATCGGTGAGAAGGGTTTCCTAAGCCCGCAGCTGAGACTCGTCGGTCCGTCGCTCTTGTGCGCCGGATTGCTGTGCTGCCTGTTTCGCGTGCTGCTGTGCCTCTGCCTATGTCGCTGCGGCCAGTGCCGCTGGCAGTTCTGTCACGTCGCCTCGCATAAGAAGGAGAAGGCGAGGAAAGCAGACATGCGACCGGGAACGTTATCGACCGCTTCGTTGTTGCCGCCGACGCAGCAGGAACGACCGATCGCGCCTACCAGCCGCTCCGTGTCACCAGCGACGAAGGGACACGAGCTCCTGCTCTCACCTGCCCAATTACCGGAGTGAAAGGACAACGTAACGCGCGCCCCGAACGTTTTTTACGAATGAATTCTATATACTATATACGCCGATTTACTGCCGGTTCTTGCCCACTTACTCGACTCTAGTTTCCGTTGCGGCTTGAATCGCAAATTCTCGCAGCCTAAAAAGTAGTCTAAACATGCGTCTTTAGATCTTAAACAATAGATAAATAAAGGAATCGGCTACGTTTTTCTATCCTTGTCGTATTATCGAGAAAGTAAAGAAACCATCACCGTCGACTAGGTATCTTTCTTCAGTCTCCTGGTTTATTTACGCTCACACATTTACAAGTTGCTTCTTTACAAAGGTATGTAAAGTTACCTGAACTTGCGATACTTCTCGACCGAATCTTAAAATAATCATACTTAACGTTAAAACTTAATATATTTTGCTGCCCACATATCGCTAGGAAAAAAACGTTTCTCTTTTCCACGAAATTGTAATCTGTGCGCAATCGTCCTTATGATCTGTTTCACAACTCACAGTGTGTCTTAGAACAAATACATTATATCGATATCACTTTAATTCCCAATGATCAGGAAAGTTGAAACTGCATCTGCTCATTGGACGAGTAACTATATATGACAGAGGTATCAGCGGTGGTTACGCTTGATGCTGTCGCAGTAATGGCAAATAATTGATCTTCATACATGCCTTGCGGCTCTGTCTTTCCATTGCCGGTTGTAGCTCCAGTATTGGGAGGATTATCACCTTTTGTTGCCTCACGATACTTTTGCAGATACATTTTCAAAGGCTCGACATAATTATCAAAACCGAGATTAGTCATGGCAAACAGAATGTCTTCACCATTTATAGTTTTACGTTTCTCCATGTGACACCTGTCACTCGCTTCTGACGTGATAAATGAGATGAACTCTGACACACACTCTTGAACACATTCACGCGCATCCTTAGCTATTTTTCCAGCCTCTGGAATGGCTCTTTTCATGATTTTGGCAACATTTGCTATTGGCAAGAAGCGATCCTGTTCGCGAAGTGGTCCTCCACCAGTGGAAACTCCAGGGCTTTGCAAAGGATCAGCACCATGATTGGAATCATCTGTGTTCTCAGGGTCATCTGTTTAAAAGCATTTGTTAAGATTTATACATTGTCTTACAATCCAAAGAGTTTAATTTCTAATTTGATTTGCAATGATTTACAGAGGAGTATCTATATATGTGTAAATATATTACATGAATATCAATCTTTTAATAAATTACATATGATTAATACATTTCTACCTTCACATTTCTCTATAGCAAGTGATGCAATAATAATAATATAATAATAATTCAATAATAATATTAATATAATAATAATTTAAATATAGGCAATTAGTAAAAAAGTTCAATACAGCTTATCTATTCAAAACGGTTGGTCTTGTCATAGAAATTGCTTAAATTGCAAAATTTCGATAAACAAAGAGAGATAAAGATATAAAACACAACTAACGTATCTGATTGTGTGGGATTAGAATATAATAAAATAAAATAGAAAATATAATAAAAAAATAGATTAAATAAAATATTAACTAAAAAAAAAAAATGATTAAATAAAAAAAATTAAATAAAATAATTAAATAAAATACAAATACATCTTGTGTAATCTGAGAAACTACGTATCCTTGAAGGAGGAATTAATGTATAGAGACGCAACGTATAGGTTAAAAATAAATGAGATCAAGAATTAAAATAATATTCGACGATATATAAATCAAGATTGATCATTGTATACCTCACAATTTGCCAGATACTATCGCGGGAAGAACGCTAACTTACCTTCCATATCCGATTGTACGCCAATGTAAGACGTCGCGACGTTACCTCCTCCCAGGAACGCCGTCGATCCTAAAGGACCACCGTCGTCTCCGCTTTCACCGCTATTCTCCATTTCTCGATACAATTCCCAATTATAATACGTACTCAAAGTAATTAAACACCTTGCGTGACTCTCGTGCCTCTTTAACCTTTTTCTATCTTTGTTTTTATCTTGCCGCCGTAAGCTGAAAGAGTCACTTGTTGTGTATATAAATATGTATATATATATATAAGGATATATAGCAAGCAACGAATAAACGGACTATGGAGGATGGACGACGTGTAGCATTCGAGTTCCGTTTTATATCCATTATTTCCGGAAAAGAGAGGAGATTGGTCACATGTTATTCCCTAGCTTGCTATGCACTGCTTATAAGGCTTCAATTGACCAATCAGCACAAAAGAAACAAACATTTCTTTATCCTGATTGGTCGATTAAACGCTACTTTACCCACGGGTTGTATTTTCGAATGCACTCTTAAGGGCATTCTACAATGGCAGTAACAAGGCTGTAGGAGTAGGAGAGTATACTTTTAAGAGCAAATGGGAATTGCCCATTTCGTTATTCCCCGTCTAAACATCACTAAAAACAGTATACTCTTCTACTCCTACAGCCTTGTTACTGCCATTGCAGACGGGCCTTAAGGGCATTCTACAATGGCAGTAACAAGGCTGTAGGAGTAGGAAGGGCATTCTACAATGGCAAATGGGAATTGCCCATTTCGTTACTCCCCGTCTAAACATCACTAAAAACAGTATACTCTCCTACTCCTACAGCCTTGTTACTGCCATTGTAGAATGCCCTTCCTACTCCTACAGCCTTGTTACTGCCATTGTAGAATGCCCTTCCTACTCCTACAGCCTTGTTACTGCCATTGTAGAATGCCCTTCCTACTCCTACAGCCTTGTTACTGCCATTGTAGAATGCCCTTCCTACTCCTACAGCCTTGTTACTGCCATTGTAGAATGCCCTTCCTACTCCTACAGCCTTGTTACTGCCATTGTAGAATGCCCTTTACACTTACGTCTTACGTCCTTACGGAATTTTGTGTGTGATGGCCTTAAGGGCATTCTACAATGGCAGTAACAAGGCTGTAGGAGTAGGAGAGTATACTTTTAAGAGCAAATGGGAATTGCCCATTTCGTTACTCCCCGTCTAAACATCACTAAAAACAGTATACTCTCCTACTCCTACAGCCTTGTTACTGCCATTGTAGACGGGCCTTTATACGAAGGAAAGGACTAGATAGAAATTGGAAATAACCAATTAGAATCGAGAAATCTTTCAAATGCAAATTTGAAGCATTAAGAGCCTATCCAGACAAATTTGCACAGATTTATAATGCATATGCATAAAGAAATTAATTAATCAAGTGTCTAATGTATGAGATGCCATATTGCTACTAGATGAACGATTGGTTGATGATTTTTTTGTGCATGTGCATTTTGACAAATGCATGTTTGAGCGTTAGAGATGGAGAGAAAAAAAGATTAAGTGCAGAATTTGAATGTAAAAAGTGTAAGTAAAACAAACAGACTTGGTTGAAATGCCAAGTAGATTTCGTCAAAAAGCTCCCGCAAATAAAATAATAACAAACCTGATTGTCATGTTTACCATGTCGTTCTTTCGAACAAAGGATGGCGGGTATGTAAATTTTTTGTATTGAATTTCACTTTGTAGGGTGACAAAATAGAAGGAAATCCAAAATGAAAAGGTAAAAGAACAGAGGGATTTTTACTGTGGTATACAACTTTTTTCTAGGAATCTACCTATCTGCGCCGGCGTGACGTCACGCAGTGACAACCTGATCTCCGAGTGTTGTCAAGATTCGCCGTGTATATAGAATTTGATTATACGCGTCAGCGAGTTATCGTATAATCCTTTCTCCCCCTTCGAGTGTATCGTGTGTCTGACATTGAAAAATATATCGCGATAAGTGCCGCCGTGCATTCACCAATGTTGCAATGATGCAGAAGCGCGTCATGTATGGCGACGCGCGGAAACTGTGCGAGAGACAAACGCAATTGGACCCGTACGGGCCCTGCCTCGCGTCAGACTAACGATCAATGGCTTTATTCGAGAAGAGATACACGAATAAAGTGTTGTTAGATGATACGGAGCAGTTGACCAGTGTCATCGAAAATGCAAGGACCATCGACGGGCATACGGTATCTCGTTTCCTCTCTCTCTCTCTCTCTCTCCCCCCCCCCTCTCTCTTTCATCCTATAATTATTTTCATTTGTTTAATCAAAGTTGTACGGATATAAGAATTTTTGTTATCACATCTGTATACGTTTTGTGTATACAAATCAAAAATCAAATTGGAATACTTTGTCTGCTGAAATTGTATATTTTATAACTTTGTTTTTGTATACAGCCATATTTATTACTTACTTGTTGAGATATATACTGAAAACTCTGGTATATATATGTATATTCAGGAATACGTAATCAAAACACAGAGAGGTCCGCTACCTGAAAGATCTTGGAGAGTGAGCAGACGTTACAATGACTTTGTACAGCTCAATGCGACTTTATCCATATCTGGCTTTGATCTGCCACTACCACCAAAAAGAATTATTGGTAATATGGAGCCAGACTTTATAGCTCAGAGACAAATAGCACTGCAGGTTCATCATTATAATATAATATGCTTGTTTACATATAGTATTCGTGTAATAAATAAAAGATATCTTTTTTTTTAGAATTATCTAAACATAGTACTAATGAATCCTATACTGGCATCTTCACTTCCCATGAAAAAGTTTTTAGACCCTGAGAATTATACAGCACCATTACATGGTAAGCTTATTTTCCACTAAGACATCATATTATAAACATAAGATATCTTAAACATTACATTAGAAATAATAATTATTATCTCTCTTAAAGATTATATTATAATGTAAACTTTTTTTGGATATTATAAGGCTGTATATATATCTGATTCTAGATATTATACAAAATGCATGTTTGTGTGCGAAATATGAAAATTATTCATCTGTTTTACAGAGATCGCGCTACAGCAAGTGTCATTAGCATTAAGGAGTGACGCCAATTTCGAAGTATGCAAACCCATCCCTGATATGGGTTGGCGATTGAGAAAACATTATTATACAGTGAAAAATCGTCAGAATCCAAAACAAGAACTCTTATTAGCTTGGGTCGAGTTTGGCCCTGACAAACATTTGCAAGATAAAGATATACAAGGAGTTTTCAAGACTCTAGGCTCTCTACGGCACATTTACATCGAACCAATAGTACATCAGCATGTTACAGACAACGGGGCACTAATGATAAGAAATTTCTATCCAATGGGCACATTACGTGATGTTCTGTGTATCACTAAGCCTAAGCAGCCATTTATAAAGAAGTATGGAAACCCAAAACAAATAAAATCATTGACAACTCAAGAAGTCGCGATGTATGGTTATCAGGTTAAAAATTTTTATATAAGAATCACATTATAGTGTGACATTTCAAAAGATTATTCTTTACATAACAATAATATTGTTGATTTGTAGATATTGGAAGCCCTAGGATATCTTCATGAGAAAGGATTACCTTATGGACATTTACATACCGGCAATGTCCTTTTAACCCCGAGATGCGCTAAATTATTAGATATAGAAAATGGTCTTTTAGGGTTACCAGCATTTTACCGGCCTTATGTAGTGCAAAGGCGTAAATTACATGCCACGGTAATATACAGTGATATAAATGTCTTGACATTTTGTAACTGATGGTATAACTAAGCTGAAAAAAATAAAGATATAATTTTTTAACTTTTAAACTCATTTATTTCAAAAAGATACGGATAAAAAAAAATGTTTTTCTATATTTTGGATTTTCCATGCAATATTATTATCATCCTGAGTTTTATTCTCTGAATAAATATTTTTCTACATTTATAAAAAATTTACATGTTTTGATATATTTTTCTTAACAGGCTCAAGTTGATGTATACTCATTTGGACATGTTTTGTATGAAATGGCATTTGGGCGACCACTTTTGGAAGCAACATGTTCTGAACTACCACATTGTGAAGCAAACTTGAAAAATTTGCTGGAGGTTATATTATCGCCGGAAGCTTTAAAACAAGATTTGCCGACAGTGTCTCGATTGTTGGAACATCCATTTTTCGAATCGGCAAGACGCGCCGCGTTGGCCCTTGGAACTGTAGAGAAGCCATATTTCAAATTGAGTAACCATTTGAAGGAAGCTTTGCAAGAAGCTGTAAATAAAGCTGAACAACGATTGCGCGATGAACAGAAAGTCGTCCGGCACCAGAAAAGACTTGTCAAAGTTCAAGAAATGATGAGTTCTGAAGAAGAGATGAAAAAACGAAAGCATAAATTGGTGAGTATATAACAAAGTAGAGGAAAGAGTTTATAGAATAAAAAGTAGCGATCGAGATAGGATATCATTTCGATTATTACATATTGCAGAAGAAAGAACAGAAATTGGCGCAGGAACAACGCTCTGCATCGCAACTGGGTACAAATGGGACAAAGCAAATAAATGGTAAGAGTCCAGAACGCTCAGACAGTCCGACAAGTACATCCACGGCTACCAGCGTTGGAACGTTGACTCCTCCATCGCTTCGTAAGTCATAACGCTCCTCATTGCTATTGTCATTGATGCTAATTGACATTTATGTTTCTACATCTTTTGATTAGCTGGGCACAAAAGTTGATGGCGCGTACTGAGGTCATTCCTTTCACGTAGGTCATTCGAGCATTCAGGTCTCCTTAATGTCTAACAACTTTTCATAATTATTCTCTCATCTTTGTTTCATAGAATTTTTCCTCATTGTTGCTTTGCCGGTTTTCTCTGTAAGATGTATTCTTGTAATTTGAGAATTACTCTTACAAGCTTATCTGGTGTGTTATTTTCAGATTTTTCAATGTTGCCTGTAATGTATAATTGTCATATATGGTTAGATGTGTACTCCCATTTTCTTAAAGAAATGAATTAGACAAATCTTTCTTGAATTCCCTAGAGCAAAATGTATGTATTATGTTATGAAGTCTACTATGTCGTTTTTCATCTTTTTCCACTCAAGGTTCTGTAGATATTCCACAAGGGGATGCAGTTCCTGGCAAAAGCGTTCCGCCACCACCTTCGTTGCCGCCGCCGTCTGAAGCGTCTAGCGGTGTATCAAATAGTGTACCAAAATCGTCAAACAACCGTGCTGCTTTACTTGGTAGTATTTGCAATTTCGATAAGAATAGGCTGCGAAGAATCGCAAATGGTCATCGTTAGATAAATAGACGGAAGGTAAATAGATTATAGGATTAGATAGACAAAGAGAGAAAAGCCACAGCAGATTTATTTCAAATCTAGTGTGACTGCCATGTAATGTTGGACAAAGAACTTTAATTGTGCTTGATTAGAACAGACGATGTACCTGTAGATTATTATGTTGAATTCAAAGATTGTCTGGACGATATAGCTGTGTCATGCTCCTCGTGACTACTAATAAAATTGGAAATTGTTTCATTTCGATCGCGATACTTGCATTTTATAAATTTTTGAATTTTGATCTTATTTTAGTGATGTGCTCTTGCTACATAACAAGATTCTAGCTTAAAGCAGTTATATTAAAAGTACAATATGTATTAAATTTATGATATATAATCGATATTAGTCCCGTTTGGCCTACTCTATGTTTTTATAAGATCTAATGCAACGCTTGCTTCGTCTATAGACTTGCCGTCCAAGAACGAGCCTAAACATATACAGAACAATTAATCAAAATAACGAATGCTTCGAAAAATTGCCATCTTTACAAATCTTATATCGTATTCTTCCCAAATATGTATACATTAAAAGCTATTTAAGCTTGTTAGAAATATTAATAGAATATAATAACAGGTGCATATAATTATATATTATCTAGTTAGCACAGAATATATAGTAATTATGCTGGGAGCAATTTAAAACATTTTAAAAATTATTTTGATTGATAATGTTATCGGGTTGCACTTGAATCAAGAATATGGCCACATGAGAGATTACATTTTCTATATAGTCCAACATATCTCACTCTCTCTCTCCCCCCCTCCCCCCATTTATATATCAATTAATAATACCATAGAACTTTGTAATAGATCTTATTTATCATTATGGGCCAAGTTTCGCGATCGATTTATGTTTTGTTATTACTCATAATTCGTCTTTTTCTTTTTGGAATGTATATATCAAATTTGTTTGAATACAAACAAAAAAAGGCAGTGATACAATGGGGTGATAGTACGTACATATATTAAGTAAATTTTCTCTGGTTATACTCATCTACTGTTTTAACTATTCAAAGAGAGTTTATAATATATATAGATATAATATAAATACATATATACACATACTTCTCGTTTGTGTTTGCACGGTAAAATGCGAGGATCATACGCCGCTTTTGTATCGCTCGTGAAGCTGGAACGTCTAGTTTTACGAATTAAAAACGTGCCAAGGGATATATGATCTTCGTATTGATGAATAATGCGATATCAACAGTAGATCATAGAATGTAATCTATTTCTGTATGTTGCGAACAAGTATGTGTCTCATATAAATCCATTTGTCTGGATATAACAAAAAATTGTAATATATATATAACCATATCTTTTAATACACTTATCACTGTTTTAGATGTATATGACAATTGTGTAATTATGATTCATCAAATATGATCTCTGGTACAGATGATTATAATAACAAGAACATATAATGGAATATTTATTGCTCTTCAAGATATATTATATCTGCTTCCGAAAGGTTGCTTATATACTCAAGAGTATAAAAGGATAAATTCTTTTATAATTCTACAAAATTTTATATTCAACAAAATATTTATTACACAAGACATTGTGACATTACCAAAGTCTGTTATCTCTGTCTGTCATTTGATTGTATATTCTTTCAAAAACAGATATTAAGACGATGGACAATAGACAAAAAAGAAAGAACATTCTTTTATGATAATAAATTTCGTTTATGCATATATAGAACTAAACAAATCTACAAAACTAATGAATAACGAAAGCTCTTTAAGAGTTCCTTATAAAAGGCATGACTTTTAAGCGTTACTTTAGACTCCTCTTTACAGAATTATCATATGCCTTACACGTTTGTAAACAGTAATGTACATAGCATACAGAAAAATTGTAGAAACCTATATAGAAACCTTACGTATCCTAGGGAAGGGAACAAAGTTTTAAGTTTATTAAAATAAAAGAAATGTCGAGTCAAATAATAAAACAATCAAGACAATTTTATTTCAGACGAAAGAGCGGGTATTTTAATACTTGGTAATATATATATATTCAACAATACATATATATATATATATATATAAATTTATCATGTTTAAATAATCTCAAAATTTTGATAGCAGTCCGTGTGTATAGTATAAAAGTATGTGTATTCTACATTGTGTATATATATACACACACACGGGAACGTATATAGATATGCGATTGTCATGATAACAGAGCTGTTGTAACGACTTAAATATATCACAATAAATATCCAAAAAAAGAAAAAAAAAGATCGTACATCATTAGTGAACAAATATGTTGTCTTTTTCACGAGTTATTAAACGACGTAGTATAAAATCATTTCCCGTCCATATTGCATTTATATAGTCATGTTTTATGCAAATTTATCATAACAAAGGTCTCTTCTAATATACGAGACACGCCGTGTATTAGTTGTAATGCTCGTTTATCTTGACTGCAAACGCAAGCATGCTTATTACGCGTTTCTAATAAAACAAATACAAATCGGTTAATTGGCACGGCGCTCGGCGCTTGTAACGACAGCGAGAAGCATATAATCAATAATGGCCAGATGTGCGTTATATTTCGCACTAATAGTGATACCTTAAACCGTCTTTGAAAATAGAATGAGGAATGAGGTACTGGCACAGTTTTTGTAGTTGTTATTAAATCCCGGTTACATTATGTAATCTCCGCTTGTACTATTAAAACTTTTATTGATAATTATCGTAAAATCGTGATAGTATTATGATTATTCGTACTATGTACATATATTTTATATGTATAAGTATATATATATAAATATATACGTAATATATTTATAGATATATTAAACATATACAAGATATCCAACAAATAAATGACCTTCAAACTGAAAAGAAAAGTCCTGTACCATTTTCTCTATAACGCTTAATAAAAAAAGAGTTATTATTGAATAAAGTTTGGCCAATCAGCGTTGACTTTTAGTCGGACGCACGTCAGTGAGCTACACGCCTGGTGTACACCGCCCTAGCAGCGGAGTGCTCACGTACACTACCAGGCGCGCGGCTCACCGATGTGCGCCCGGCTAAAGGTCGGCGCTGATTGGCCAGACTTTACACATAACGTTTTCGAATGAACGGGTTAATCCAATCCGAATCAATTAATTACTATATTACTATATTATAATTACTATATTTTACTATGAATTCAAGCCTTTTATTGGCAGAGACGATGCAATGACGTCATTAATCGCGAGTCAGAGCGATTAAACCTGCTACATTCGAAAACGCTATCAATAATAACTCCTTTATTAAGCGTTATGAAAAAAATGTTTCAAAACTTTTCGACTCGGTTTGACCCAGTCTATCTCCATCTTTCGGTTGATCACTTACTTGTCGGACACCCTGTATATACATAATTATAGGGTGTCCCATAATACCCGTATCACCTCTCGTGTGCAGGTAGAGCAGGTGAAATCGAGGAGAAAAGTCCTATACCATTTTTTTTCTATAACGCCTAATAAAGGAATTATTATTGAGTAAAGTCTGGCCCATCAGCGCCGACTTTTAGCCGGACGCACGTCGGTGAGCCGCTCGCACGTCGGTGAGCCGCTCGCCTGGTAGTGTGCGTCGCCGTAGCGACGGAGCGCTTATGTACACTACCAAGCGCGCGGCTAAATGTCGGCGCTGATTGGACAGACTTAATCAATAATAACTCCTTTATTAAGCGTTATAAAAAAAATGGTAAAGGACTTTTCTCCTCGATTTCACCTGCTCTACCTGCACACGAGAGGTGATACGGTTATTATGGGACATCCTGTATATATAATTTTATAATAATTTATATATATATATATATGTATATACAAGGTGCTAAATTTCAAACGTAACAGGCCGAATATCTCGATAACTAAATAAAATATCGAGGTCCGTTTTTGACGTGTCCATCGAAAATCAAATTCTTTTTATCAAAATTTGTTCATCTCAAAATAATACAACCTAAAACCGGACCTCGATATTTTATTTAATTATCGAGATATTCGGTTATGTTTGAAGTTTAGCGCCCTCTGTATATATAAATTATTATAAAAGACGATAAAGTATTCGAGAAATATATATGTAACTCTCCAAAGGAATATGCAGCATGTATCAAAGTTTGCGCACATTTTCTTAATTATAAACTTTTGACAAGTTGCAGTCAGTTTCCCATTAATACAATTTTTATGTTCAATTATCTATCATGTGTGATCTTAAAATTAAACATTTTATCAGTGAAACCAATAAAAATTATAAATGAGAGAGGGAGAGAGAGAGAGAGAGAGAGAGAGATTCACTCTTATTAATATAAATCTAATTAATAAAGAGAAACTGAATTTTACAAATTTCTATTAAAGGTTAGTTAATCCCATATTTATCAGATGTATAATATTGGAAGCAAATACACAACTTTGAATACATTTTCTATATGTGTCTCAGGGCTTTCGGAGAGTTACGGGAGGAATAATTAAAGACGATAAAAACGTCGCAGAATGACTTGTTATACAATTGATACTTACATTAACCGATAATCAATATTGTCAGAAAAATACTACTTACAATATGAATATAATGCTTTTAAAAAGGAAACTGATTTCATACAGATTGTGCATACAAATCACACTTTTGATCACTCAATCAATCATCTCTCTTTATATTTTTGGCAAATAAGGCTAGACAGTAGGATGACGGAAAAAAAATCATCTTCGTCATAATTTTGTGTGAAGTTTTTCTGTTACTGCCTTCAATCTGAAAATGTTTAAATATCTTTTTGCTTTCTTTGTCATTGTTCCTTCTTTATTCAATAATGCTCGCGAAATGTGAAGATTTAAACATTACAGCGCTACCTTGAAAGTTCTTCTTGAATGCGATCAGTTATCGCTTTCCGTGCTTCCATCTCGTTCACTTTTGACGCCCGCAAATCTGCCAGCATTCCACTAAAGTCTATGGGCTCACCGTAATTCATGATAACTTTTTTTCCCGTTCTAAACATATACGGCGGCTCGTTGGGAAGTACTTCATCCATACCGAGATGGCAAATAGGAATTACGATAGGTGTGACAGGCGATTCTAATATTAATCTACCCACGCCCCATTTCAACCTAAACAATATCATCGATTTAATTCTCGTTGAATGCAGTAATGATATGCTCATCCATGATCTTCTTATATATATATATATAGAACTTTAAGAAGTAATATTTGCAATTAAAGATATTTTTCAAGAATAAGCCAATATATATCTAAATTTTTAATATTTTAATAATCGAATCATTACACATTAGGTTTATTTCGAATCGATTTTTATCTCAAATAGTGAACGATAAACGTTTCAAAAATATAAATTGCAACTTATAAACATTTTTGTTTTTTTTCATAGTATAATACGATAGCATTAATTTGTAGTAGCGTTACACAGGTTTGCGCTCTCAGATTCCAAAGCAAAAGATTACGAAAGTAACTTGAGTACGAACCTCATCTCTTCCTTAAGCATATTGACTTTTCCTTCGGGAAAGACGTGCACCCACTCGCCACAGGCCAACCTTTCGATGCAGAAGTCCATGGCTTCCTGATATACGCCGTCACCTCTGACGATGGGTATGCACTTGCCGAGCATGAAAAAGTAGGAATGCCAGACATTCGTGAAACAAATGTCCTGGGCGGCGAGCGACCATCTTATCTTACGTCGATTTAGCCCGTGCCGGATGTCCAGGGTCGCTAAATGAGTTGAGAGATTTTTCTGTCTTAAATTCTTTCATTTGATCGCGTATCGGCGTCGTTCTGAGAAAGAAAAACACGTCTCAAAAGAGGGGACATAAGCGCACATTAAGGATGTCGAAAGAATACTATAATATTACTCGTTTTAAAAAAGAAAAAGAAACAAGGCGTGTAAAAAAAGGAAACTTACTATTAATTACGCACAATTAAACACCAGAGACGCAATGGAATTAAGAACGAAGTATCTTTGTTATTGTTTCATTCTCACATGTGGCCAATGACTCGTACAGCTATTATCTTATCGTTAGTAATCTCGCATTTCTAAACCCGTCGAACCATTGTAATTCGAGTACTTTAAAATGAATCGATTAGCGAGCAAGTTTTTCAAGCTTTAATTTTTCAAGTATTGTAATCTTATTTTCTAAAAAATATTAAAAGGATTTTTTTTAGATAAAAGACAATTCGATTTTTAATTTTTTTTTTTTTTAAGAGAACTTGGTTATACCAAGTGGTTGGAAGGGTGTTTCAGAAATACTTCAACAAACTTTGGGGATGAATTCTCCATACAAAAACAAGAAAAAAATATCATATAAATATATGTCCGAAAATGCCTGATTTATGAGTTATAATCGAAAGATTACATTCAATTCAGTACTATGGCCTGATCTAAATCCATTATATTTTTATCTATAGAGACATTTAAAAGCCCTAGTTCATGCAACTGAAATTGCAAATGAAGAGACACTTCACCAACGCATCGTAGATGCCTGCGAAACCATTTGCAACTGTCATGGGATCTTTGAAAGAGTGCGACAGTCCATGATCTGACGTGTCCATGCGTGCATTGAAGCAGGTAAAGGACATTTTGAGCATTTGTTATGAATTGTGAGTAGATAAATTGAATTGAAGATATATTTACATATTACATTGGCCATGTTCAGTAGG